CACGCCACGCACGCACTCAATCCCCTAACCACCCTTTCCTCCGTATCTCCGACCTTGCGCCCAAAACCCCGCATATTTCCTCCCCCCTCATCACCAAACTATCCTCAGCAACAGCGCACTTCCATTTGTGGGGTAAGCAAATTCGGAGAAATCGTTTGCAAATCGTGTAGCGGACCCGGCCCAGACAAGTCGAACCGAGTTTTTGTAACTGCCCCTCTAAACCTTAACAAGCAAAAATACTAATCTTCGCTTATACTATAAACAGTAGCAGAGCAGAAATACAGCAGCAACAGCAACTTAATATTTAGAAAAACATTGTCAGTGAAATTCAAAAAGATCATTCGGATGCTTCTGCTGTTCAGTGTAAGAAGTCCAGAGCTGTGACTCGGTAGGTACTTCCATTGAGTACCTGTACCGTCTCATCGAATATCATTGCAGTGCCCGCCTGTATCACTCGTTCACACACACACACACACACACACACAACACACATACGCACACAACACACATACACACACAACACACACACACACACAGCATTCAACAATTATCTCCAGGCGACTCTTCATGCCTCAAACAAAGATTCTGCTCCTTCTCGTGAACATAACAGCTGCTCCATCTCAGATTTCTTTTGTGGGAACCATTCATCAGATACCAATACAGCTCGATGCCCTAACAGCAATTATCGGTTCTTCTTTCGCAAACACGGTGATTCCCCTCCACACGTTCCTTATTCGTAGAGATATCTCCTTTTTCACATGATAAAATTTTCTACATGAAATTCCATATGCCCACATCTGAGGAATTCAAAATGGACAACGGGACCATCCCTGCATCTACGTGCCCAAGTCTCATTGGGGGGGAAAACGGTCGGAAAATTTCAACACCCCAGCTGCCTCGATGGGTTGTTACAAAGTCGTCAACGTCAAATTTCAAGTGTCCGCACATGAAATATGAGATGGGATGTGCAAGGTTCACTTTACAACTGTGGGTCTGTACGCGTGTAGTACACACCTATGTTCTCTACTCAGCTGTCCTCCAGCAGTTGGCGCGTCCAAAACAGCAGTGAATCAGACTTCCAATGTCACCTAATTATAATAATAATGATAACAATAATAACGACAATAACAATAATAATCATAAATCAGGGGATATGAATGACGATAATGGTGCAGCCAAGAAATGATGTTCATACAACAAAAAAAAAAAAAATGCCACGCACATTTCATCTGTAAATCTTGCAAAAATTGGCAGGCATTTGGTTAGGTTCTCTTTGCAAACGACTTCAGAATACAACAAAAAAAAAGTTTTTTTTTTTTTAAATTTTTTCCCGAATAAAAAGCGAAATAGGAAATATATTCCAAACATTTTCATTCCCTCTTCACTTTCTCTGTTTCATCATTTTCTACCTTATCCTCTAATATCCCAAATCCACACTTTTAACAGTCCAAATTAGCTCAGTCCGAACCCAACCCGGTCACTAACTGGCTGTGGGAAGTAATCCTACACGTCACATGAAAAACACTTGCATGCAGGCAAGTAAACGATCGAAAATCACATGTAAAATTTGACATTCGAAAAACACCTGTAAAATTTGACATAGCTCATGATCCCACATCCGAGTGTCCAGAAAAAAGCCAAGTCAAGAAATTCGGACAAAAAATACCAGATTTGCACACCATCGATTCGGAAGTAGCAGATTTTTTCGGATTTTTTCAGGATTTTTTCGAAATTTGGAAAGATAACGGATGAAAAGGACTCCCGGGCTTTTTTTGGCCTAAATTTTTGCATGGGGGACCCTATTTCCCTTTTCTCCCCCGCCTCCTCACCCCCTCCCCCGTCCCCCGATATAAGTTTGAAAGTCAGATCTGTTTCATTTCTTTTTGAAGCCTGCATGCCAATGCTTTCAAAGCACATATTTAGAGATCACTACTTGTTTTTACAATCTAAAAAAAGCTTACCTCCATGCAGTCCGTTGCCGAGTAATAGTAGCAGTTTCGTAGACGTTTCTCGATGGTATTCATATCCATTGGACGCTTGATTACTTTATGATAGTCCTTAAAATATGCCAAAATTACATGGGCAGACATTTTTCGCTAAATCCCCCCCAGCTTAATCTATCAAAAATAAGCCAGTAGCTAAGAGAGGCGCACCGAAATCGAAAGGTAACAGCAGCCTATCAGGAAAAAATATCGAAATTCATGAATATTTCAATAAATTCTCACAACAAAAAGTTCTGAATACGGTAAAGCGAAACTACATTCTAACAATGCACCGACAGATAACAGCTCCGAGATAAATGGGGCAGAAGATCAATGACCAGCCCAAGTGCCACGCTTGGTTTGTACGTAAAAAAGCAAAGTTGTAAGCTCGGAACAGGATAATTCGAGGCCTGAGGCTCTAGACACGGTATGAAATACTCACTATAAGCACACAGCAGCTCACGAGCAGGAGTACTTTAGGATAATTTGTACTAAGGATTTAGCTAATCCTGCAAAACAAAGCCACTGTCTCCCGCACACCCATAAAACCACCGTTTCAGTGCATGCAGAACCCCGGTTTTATTAAAACGCAACTGTTTGGGACTACATGCAATTAAATTATCCCCCTACTGTAAATTTCTTACGAAATAGTAGAATAGAGGAATTAGATTTATAAGTGTCATCTGTAAGACAAGACATTTTACGCGATGCAGCAGTCTGTCTGTGTTTCATCCCTTAGCTGTAAACAAAGACTACTGACCCATGCATGCGGGTAGGAGCGGGACTCCTACCAACCAACTCTACCAGGCATGAGAGTAGCCTACTGCTTTTCAGCACAAGAATTTACATGGATATCTTACAATTACCGAACAAAATAACAAAAAAAGGTGTCAAGACAAGCGTACCGGTAAATCAAGTCGTACAGCATCGACCGGTTTCGTGAATGGCCAAGCATGCTTGTGACGCATCGCCGGCTTCAGCACTTCTTTGAGTATGAAATCCAGCTGATTGGTATGCCGCGTTGGTTTACCCGGCGGCGGAATCACACGTGGCTGCACCACACCATTGATCGGCTCCTGTAACACAGAACAGATTAGGCTTCCACGATGCATGGACTGGGGAGGCAAGGGAGCGGGGAGGGGGAGACTCCATAGTGAATTCGTGGAGTTCGAGGAAAGGACAGTGTCCAGGGTATTACGAGGGTTTAGTTCGGGCAACAATACCCGGGATATCTATACAACCTAAAATAGTACCCCCCAAAGCTGCTGTACAACTGCTGCCAAGGTCATGTGGAAGATTCCGGTGGCTTGCGAATAAACGCCCCAAATACCGTAGGAGTGCAGGGGGAACAGTGCCCAGGAAATCATGGATCTAAACATCCCGGCATAGGTGGATCCATGGCGGCTTCCTGGAGAGATAGGGGGTTTTTCCCCTTCCCCCCACCCTCCATTCGTCACTACGTCGGAAACCACACTCACTCCCCCTCCTAGCAATAGCAACCGTCGAAAGAAGGGAGGGGAGAAGTCGGGCTCCTGAATGGGCGAGGGTGGGAGGAGAGAAATACTCAATTTTATCGCAAACTCAAAAACGAGGGCATTTTGCAGCGAACGACTGCCCTCATCGGGAGAGGGTGAAATACCCATGCCCTCTGAGCCCGCCAATGCATCCTAGTATCCGGGAAAATCACGGAAACCAACTGTTGGATTTTACCGCACACATATGAAAAATCATTTTGAAAAAAATCACCTGTCGTGGTGATTCCCAGCCACTTTTTTTGCTCGATTTGTTGGTTACGGCGCCGGCAGCGGCGGCGCCGGTTTTTGCATCGACGTCGCCACCGCGATCAGCAGCAGCTCGTTGCTCGGCCTGCGCATCGTTGGCGGCCGGCGGCGCTTCGGCCATCGGCTTCTCCTCGGAGCCCTCCACAGCAGATGGCTTCTCATCCGACCCACTTGACTGCTGATGCTGCTGCTCCACCGCTGCGCCCCCCGGTGAATTGCCATTGCCAGTGGTTGTCACAGGCTCGTTATTGCTGTTGCTGCTGCTGTGGCCGTTCGAAGTGGATGCAGAAGGAACTGACATCACACTGAAATGCGCCCAAACAAAAATAACTAGCGGAAACTGGTCAAAAATTTTCCCGAAAAACCGCACAAACGAAAGGCAACGCGATCAATCCGGCAAAATATAAGGGGGAGGAATTTCGCCCCCACTGTTCCAGTTGAATTTGAAATCTTTAGCTCATATAAAGTCGGGGAATATCCCTATGGTTTTTGTTCAACTTTTCATCTTGCCTGGTTCTCGAAAAACCGCACAAACGAAAGGCAACGCGATCAATCCGGCGAAATATAAGGGGGAGGAATTTCGCCCCCACTGTTCCAGCTGAATTTGAAATCTTTAGCTCACATAAAGTCAGAGAATATCCCTATCGTCTTTGTTCAACTTTTCATCTTGCTTTTTCCGGAAAAACCGCACAAACGAAAGGCAACGCGACCAATCCGGCAAAATATAAGGGGGAGGAGATCGCCCCAGTATTCCAAATCTTTAGCTCATACAAAGCCAGAGGATAACTCTGGGTGATTTTTCAGCTTCTCATCCTGCCTGGTCCTCGAAATCGTTTTCCCATCGAAAAATTTACTTGGATTTTTTCAGGCGCCCGTACATGAGATTTAGGGTAGGAAAAAACTATTCAGCTCAGATTTTAGAGGTTAGAAGTTTGATTCCAGGGAATAACTACAAGAAAAAGAACTCCGGATAAAACCTTAACGCAGAGAACATGAACCTGAGGAGAAACGATCAACTCAGCTCCAAAGCTCACCATCAAACAATCCCTCTACAATATGTGTTTTTGCGAATATTTGCACAGATGTGAAAAACATACAGGAAGGATAATTAGAGTTAATAGAAGTAATGAAGACCAAACAAGTGATGATTAGATAAGCGCAAAGAAAAAGCATTATTTTGAAAATATGTGTTTTTGCATTGCACAGATGTAAAAGAAAAAAAAACACAAAAAAAAATATAATTCTAAACCACTGTACAACAAAAATCGGCGGGAAGGGAAAAAAAGACAAGTCAGGGCTGTATTTTGGACAAAATCCTACCTCTGAAGCCGAAAATCAGCAAAATTAACGGCGAAAAATACGCATTTTTCGGAAAAAAAGTCTAGGAACAGTGCAAGATTTGATATATAAGCATGCTGGGTTTTGCGTGGGTGCTCTTGATAAACTACCAGTATTTTACCACATATCATTATCTTCTGCCACAACTGTTTTTGTGACTATGAGAAAAACTATAGCCACATGGCGGCCCATGCTCCTCTTTGCGAGTTCCAGGCAAAATTATGGGTAACTGCTTGGGTAACTTTACCCGCGCCGCTTTAATTTTTCCCGGACTTGGATCCCGGAATTCCGAAAGCAGTGGCCAGTGTCGGAATTGATGAGAGCTGGGCATATTTCGCCTGAAATAAATGCAACCTACAACTGTGATCAGAAGGAAGCCTTCGAAAACCCGGGGAACGGTCACTAGGGGGGAACTTTCGGGACGGGAACTTGTCCCCTATGCGATGGGGAAGTTTCAGCACTGATTTTATCGTTGTTCAGGGTGCAATTCGATGGGGAACATTTCCCAAGAGTGCGTTTGAAGTTACCGAAGCCAGCGGACACTGTGGTACTGCTTCCAGTCCCGGAAAACCCCGAACCAGTGGTGCGGAGGAGGTCGAAATTAATTCCGAGAAAAGAAGGCCCCCCCCCCCTTTTTGTCCAGAAAAACCCC